GTCATAGCAGAAATCTCCTTTTATTAATATAGACTCCTGAGTCCAAATGCTTCTATCACTTAGTGCAGTGAATCTTTGCCCTGTTCTAGAGGTAGATGATTTCCTAATGGCCCAGGGAGGGAAGGGCTTATGGTCTTCCTCCATTGTTATAAGGCCTTTGCTTTATGTGATCAGAACGTTGGAGATTAGGCAGGGTTTTCTGCTGTCTCCAGTAGCAGCCCTCACCTGCCCAAGAGAAACTGATATACTCTAAATTGATAAACTAGCCCACACTTGGCCTTTTGAATTCTTTGGAATTTTAACTAATTTCCTCTTAAGGGTTGCTATGGTAGCTACTTTGACAATTCTCTACCAAACCTGAAACAGTTTCTACATCCTGTCCTTCTGGATGTGCTTATATTCTTTGGAATTCAGTTCCATTGGTTGCCTCTGACCACAGCTTTCTGATGGGTACAAGGAAAGTTATGACCTTATAAATATCTTTTTTTTTTTTCTTCTTGAGAGTGACATTCTTGTTTGGAGTTCTGCATCCTGAGCAATCATATGAATTGTACTGGTTCCTACTTCATAACTTTTAAATCACCCATAAGTTCACAAGTCATCTGTGTATATAGTAATTTCAAACAATATATTGAATAGTAATGTTTTCTTTATTTTTTTGCATTATTATAGACCAACAACTGTAAAACAAAGGGAAGAAAGGAGTCCTGGAAAAAAACTTCCCAAGCAATTAGTAGATCTGTATCTTCAATTCCTTACCAAACCTCAGTGGAGGTGAGCTTTTGGAATACAGTAGATTGTATTGCAGAGTAGGAGGACCAGTTGAGGAGAGACATCCATGGGCCAAGTAGCTGTCTATTGTAGAGAAAGGCCCTACCACGCAAGCCAGAAGCACTGTTTGACCATATATAGCATTTTATCTAATTATTCTATTTTTTAGTTCATTTTATTTTATAAATTGGCCTTCAGAGTGTCTGTTTCACTTTGGATCCTTTTTATTTTTTTTCCTTTTTGCTCATCTTGGAGAGCACATCAAAGTTTAAAAGATGTATGAAAAACCTTGTAACCCTGATGTGGCCAGCATGACTTATTCTTTCAATTCACAGTTGTCATTGAGCTGAAGAAAGGTCAGGGCTTGCTGTGCTTGTTTAATGGGCCCCAGGATCTTTCTTGGGATTTTTGTGTTTTTTTTTTTTTTTTTTTGTTTTGTAAAACGCAGAAATTTCTTTAGTGTTTCTCAGTTCTCTTTACTTTTACACTTTTTTCAGGATGAAAATATGTGAAATTGTCTATGGCCATTTATGAAATTGCCGCTACTAAAATTCCCACATGGCCTTCTATTTTTACTGATGTCTTAAGTTACTTTTCTCATTGCTGAGACAATATATCTGACGTCAACAAGTTAAAGGAAGAAAGCTCCTGGGCCAGGGATTTAGCTCAGTTCTGCCACCTGCCTCTCAAGCACAAGGTCCCGAGTTTGATCCCCTGTACCAAAAAAATAAAATTAAATTTAAAAAAACGAAGAAAGCTCCTTTATTTAGCTCACAGTTTGTAGGAAGTTTCAGTTCATAGTTAGCTGGCTCTAATGCAGTGGCATGGCAGAGGGGCATCACAGAAGAGAAACTGTTCATGGCGTGGCAGGCAGCAAGCAGCAGCGGCAGCAACCTTTGCTGACTACCTGCCCTCTTCCTTTATATTATCTAGGCAATAAGCATTTAGATTGGTGCTACCCACACCTAGGGTGGGTCCCCCCATTATCCACACCCAGAACTACGCCACATCTAGTCAGTGAACTAATTTAGTGCCACACACCTTTAATCCCAGTATCAAATGCCTAGATCCAACCAGTTCTGAAAAGATCACCTATGAGCACATGAGGCTCTGGGGGAACATCTAGATAGATACAAGCCATAACAAGTGATAACCTTCTATTAAACAAAGTATTTGGTTTTGATACAAACATGTTTATTTCCTATAGTACTTGATGTGACTATTTCTACCTTTAGTGTTAAATATGAATCCTATATTATCCTTCCTGAATTTGCTGTGGTATAGAAAGTTTCCTGAGCCCTTTTCTAGTCCACTGCTTTACTAAAATCATTCCTGGCACAAAATTGTCCCTCTACAAAGTAGATTGTAACTCTGCTACTGATCAGCTGCTTACCCTAGACAAGTGCTTGATCACTGCTGGGCTGAAGAATGAAAACCAGATTGAAATGAGTAGGAGTGGAATAAAGTTTCCAGACATTACGTAGTTTGGGGCCCAATGTCCTGCCATTGAACCCTAATTCTGCCTCCCTCCCACACAAGTGCTTCTGTCCTTTCCTTTTTACTCTTGGCTGTGGGGGATCAGATTGCTTCCCATGTTAACATATCCACCTGTTTGTCCCAGCCAAGGTTCTGGTCCATCCAGTGATAAGAGTGCAAGCTCACACCCGTTTTCCTTGTTTGTCTCTAAGCAAGCACACTCTTCCATCTTTGTTTCTTGTTGCTTTATCTTCTAAGGGGGAAAGAGAAACATCTTTTCATCCAAGCCTTGGTGTGCTGTGGAGAGGACAGGATAGTTCTAGACAACAACAGATAAAGGGAGGAAAGAGACAAGAAATCTCTGGTAAACATTGTCCCCCACGTCAGCCTGTGCTTGTGTGTCTGTCTGCAGTCAGTGACCAGAAATTACCAAAGCTAGGCTGCTTTGTGAAAAGGAAGTCAGTGTTTGTAAAGTCAGTATGGTATAAGCTGCTGCCTGTTCCCAAAATATTTTTGTGATTTGTGTGTGTTGTATGTATGCTATTGACCTACTTTGCTGTTTGGCCTTTTCCCTCTCAATAACAAAGAGTCCTATGAATTTGAAATGTAACATTTGCAACAAATTAGGAAACAGTGCTAGAATATTAATCAGTATATAAAATGACAGAATAAAAGATTGTAATGCTAAGAAAACGCTGCATATTTTAATGGATCATGGACAATCCTTCATTTTTTTTTGTGATTCCATTTACCAGTGGTATGTTGAGATAAAATTTATAAAGGTTATGAAATTCCCTTTGTGAGTTAATATATTGTCTTTATTAAAGATAGGTGTGTCTTTTTTAAAACATCCTTCATTATAAAAAATAGGAAATACATATATTTTTTTCACATCTTTATGCACAACTAATTACAAATACAATTTCATGCCATCATGTTTGAATAGATACACTACAATCTATGCTTCAGGGATTTGGAACAACTCAAATGCGATATATCTTACAGATAGAATTATCACAGCTTTTGCCTGTTCTGCACTTCATCGCACTGGGGATACAGTTATGAAGAAACATTCTATCTGGTGGCATTTGTTTTATCTTGGCACTCAGATCACAAAAGCCTCTATGGTTCATTTTGAAACTTTAAGGGAAATGATTTCCATCTGATTTAAAGTTTAGGTTTAATTACCTTTTTCAAATTTCTTTGGAAGCATAGGTAGTCAAAAAGTAGAAGTACTTTTAAATTTCGGACATAGAATAGCATAAAAACTTTTTTAAATATGGAGAGGATTTTATTCTAAATAGGTTGTGTCCATTGCTTTTATGTAATACTTTACATTCTCTGTATTACCATGAAAGTTATGTAATCCTAAATCCCCATCCTTATTCCTTACTTTTGGACACAGTGACATCAGAGATTTTATAAACCTCCTGCAAGATAATATTGTGTTTTAAGTTAAAATTGTGAAAGGTAATTTGACATCATTATAGTACTTTTGGTCTTAAGTACACATGTAGATATGGTTGTCAGCCCTGCAGGGAGTACTATGTTACATTCTGCAGAGAAGTTAAGGAGTGCAGTATTGGCAATGTAAATTTCTTCAGGAATAGATGCTACCTAAAGTTTTTCACTTGAGTGTTAGTAATCTATTTATATTGAAATTACTTAGGCAACATCGTTCTCAGCATCAGCCTGGAGCACAGCAGTGGTTTTAATAAATCCAACTCTATAGTGTTAGTAAAGCCCTTAGCTAGACTGCCTTTCAGACCTAATACAATTGCGACAGTACAGCCATATCTGTATCTGAAGTGTTTGGGACCATGACTAGTCTATCCTGAGACTCTGAAGACCCAAGAATTTCTGCTAGAATTCCAGCGTCTATCCACTTAACACACACTTTAATGGTTCCTACTTAGTGGTTTCTGGTCATTTGGTAGAATGAAATAACAGTCTAAACATCTTAGTGAGCGTGGGTGGCCAGGAAATATTTTTTGGGACTTGAGAGAACATTCCCACTATATGGGGGGCTGCCTAAAATGCAAATTACTGACCACCATTTTTAGAGATCTGATTCTACAGGTCTATGGGTATGTATTTTAACCAGATAACCCAGCTGATTTTGAGGCATATGGTCTGGTGAAAAGCCTTTAGAAACACCAAAGCACATTTTGGTATTTTGTTTTCAGTTTCTGTGAAACTGTGTTTCCTTGGACCTCATGACTGAAAAAATAAAATAAAATAAAATACTTATTTTTTAAAAAAAGAAAAACTAATGTATAGACTATATAATGTATATACACAGAGGACCTACTTTTATAGGTGTACACCCTGTTTAGCTGCATAAGCCCCATGTTCCAGTGACTTGGGCTTGGCTTAATATTCTTCATCTGTTGCTTTCTTGAAATTATTAGTAATTTTTGACCAAGGAGTTAAAAGGAGTATTTTCATTTTTCTTGGGCCCTGAAACTTATGTAGCCAGTTGTCTATATAAGATTTTATCATATGTTAATGAAATTGTGTTCCTTGACAAACGTGACTTGTAGTTATTCAGTGATTTCTTACCTATTAGCATTAAGCTGTAAACTCTAAGGCCATTTCTGAGCTTTAGAGATGAATGGGTATCATTCAGTATAAGATCCAGAATAGGAAATCCTTAGTATAATTTTATCAAGGAAATTAAATTTTGATTCCCAGTCCTACACATAGACACCTATGCTTGTATTATTCTAATATACTGTTCTTTTTTCCTCTAGGATGGTACAAAACAGAAAAGGGAGCGGAAGAAGACAGTGTCATTCAGCAGCATGCCAACAGAAAAGAAGATCAGCAGTGCAAGCGATTGTATTAATTCAATGGTTGAGGGCTCAGAACTCAAAAAGGTTCGCTCCAACTCTAGAATATACCATAGGTATTTTTTACTAGATGCTGACATGCAAAGCCTGAGGTGGGAGCCATCTAAGAAGGATTCGGAGAAAGCCAAGATTGATATTAAATCCATCAAGGAAGTGAGAACAGGAAAGAATACAGACATATTTCGCAGCAATGGCATTTCAGAACAGATATCTGAAGACTGTGCATTTTCAATCATATATGGAGAGAATTATGAGTCACTTGATTTGGTTGCCAACTCTGCAGATATTGCGAACATCTGGGTTACAGGACTTCGGTACCTAATTTCTTACGGAAAACATACACTTGATATGTTAGAAAGTAGCCAAGACAACATGAGGACTTCTTGGGTTTCACAAATGTTTAGAGAAATTGACGTAGATAGCATTGGACATATAACTCTGTGTAATGCTGTGCAATGTATCAGAAACCTCAATCCTGGTTTAAAAACAAGCAAAATTGAGCTTAAGTTCAAAGAATTGCATAAATCCAAGGACAAAGCTGGTACAGAAGTCACAAAAGAAGAATTTATTGAGGTTTTCCATGAGCTTTGTACTAGACCTGAAATTTATTTCCTTTTAGTTCAGTTTTCAAGCAATAAGGAATTCCTTGATACTAAGGATCTTATGATGTTTCTTGAGGCAGAACAGGGTGTGGCGCATATAAATGAGGAAATAAGCCTTGAAATTATTCACAAATATGAGCCATCCAAAGAGGGCCAGGAAAAGGGCTGGCTGTCCATAGACGGGTTCACTAATTACCTTATGTCACCTGACTGTTACATATTCGATCCAGAACATAAGAAGGTCTGCCAGGATATGAAACAACCTCTGTCTCATTACTTTATAAACTCATCTCATAACACATACTTAATAGAGGATCAGTTCCGAGGTCCTTCTGATATCACAGGATATATCCGAGCTCTTAAAATGGGTTGCCGGAGTGTTGAATTAGATGTATGGGATGGGCCAGATAACGAGCCTGTCATTTACACAGGCCACACCATGACCTCTCAGATAGTTTTCCGCAGTGTCATTGATATTATTAACAAGTATGCGTTCTTTGCCTCAGAGTATCCTCTTATCTTATGTTTAGAAAATCACTGTTCTATCAAACAGCAAAAGGTCATGGTTCAACATATGAAGAAAATTTTAGGAGACAAGCTCTATACAACATCACCCAATGTTGAGGAATCTTATCTACCATCCCCAGATGTCTTGAAAGGGAGAATACTAATTAAAGCAAAGAAGCTATCCTCAAATTGCTCTGGAGTAGAAGGAGATGTTACTGATGAAGATGAAGGAGCAGAAATGTCTCAGAGGATGGGAAAAGAGAATGTGGAGCAACCCAACAGTGTGCCTGTGAAGCGATTTCAGCTTTGCAAAGAACTGTCTGAGCTGGTCAGCATCTGTAAGTCAGTGCAGTTCAAAGAATTTCAGGTGTCATTTCAAGTCCAGAAGTACTGGGAAGTCTGCTCATTTAATGAAGTGCTTGCCAGCAAATATGCCAATGAAAATCCAGGAGACTTTGTAAATTACAATAAGCGTTTTCTTGCTCGGGTCTTTCCTAGTCCAATGAGAATTGACTCTAGTAACATGAACCCTCAAGATTTTTGGAAATGTGGTTGTCAAATAGTGGCCATGAACTTCCAGACTCCAGGGCTGATGATGGATCTGAATATAGGCTGGTTTAGGCAGAATGGGAACTGTGGCTACGTCCTTCGGCCAGCCATCATGAGGGAAGAAGTCTCATTCTTCAGCGCCAATACAAAAGACTCTGTCCCAGGAGTCTCACCTCAGCTTCTTCATATTAAAATCATCAGTGGGCAGAACTTTCCCAAGCCCAAAGGTTCAGGTGCCAAAGGTGATGTGGTGGATCCCTACGTTTATGTGGAAATCCACGGGATCCCTGCCGACTGTGCAGAACAAAGGACAAAAACAGTGAACCAGAATGGAGATGCTCCCATTTTTGATGAAAGCTTTGAATTTCAAATCAACCTACCTGAATTGGCCATGGTGCGCTTTGTAGTGCTAGATGATGACTATATTGGGGATGAGTTTATTGGTCAGTACACAATTCCCTTTGAGTGTTTACAAACAGGCTACCGCCATGTCCCCCTGCAGTCTTTGACTGGAGAGGTCCTTGCACATGCTTCTTTGTTTGTCCATGTGGCTATTACTAACCGAAGGGGAGGAGGAAAGCCTCATAAAAGGGGCCTTTCTGTGAGAAAAGGGAAGAAATCCAGGGAATATGCATCTCTGAGAACATTGTGGATTAAAACTGTGGATGAAGTGTTCAAGAATGCCCATCCCTTGATCCGGGATGCCACAGATCTGAGAGAGAACATGCAGGTATGTGTTTGTGTTTAAGTATCACTCAACAGTTTTTCACATAGGACCTCTTAGTTTATGAATATATTAGAGGTTTTTTTAACAATGGTATATTTAGTTGTGAATAATTGGCAAATTCCAGTTGGTTATTGAATGTTTACCACTTATATTTCTTATTTAAATTTCCATTATGAGTGCTGGGGATTTAGCTTCGTGGCACTGCACCTGTCTTGCAAGTGCATGGTCCTGAGTTCAATCCCTGGTACTGCAAAAAATTTCCAAAATGACAGTTGTTGAAAATTTTGATTGCATATTAAAATAAACTAGTCTTATTGCTGCCTTGCATATCACTAATTCTAGTTCCTGTTAGTGATTAACAGTTCTCCATTTTTCCTAGTAATGTGCAAGGGAATCTCCAATGTTGTGAATATGGTCCTTAGCCGGAACATAAATTGATGACTTATCAAAACCAAAGGGATATAGATTAAAGTAAAAGGGACATGTTCCAGACCTTTCTTACATAGCTACAACAGTGGGAAGAAAGCCCTTAAATGAACTAATGTGTTTTGTATGATTTTAGAGGATAGCTCATTTTACGGTGAAAGACATGAGGTATCTGATTTATTAAAGTTGAAGATAATAATTAACTCTGAACGGTAGCTGAAAACAATGTTAGATATTGTGTATTTATTTAAAGATTGTCTGTGTATCTAGCCCTATATGAGGTCCCATGAGTGGTATAGACCTGGATAGTAAATGCTTTTCTCACAGAGGCGATTTAGTCCATCTCAGTGTGTGAGAATGCTCTGTGTGGTTTATTTATTCTACAAAAATGACACCTGCTATAAAATCTGACTTAAAAAACATACTTTCAGCATATTTCTGCCTAGGTACTGAATGTGTAGATACCTCAGAGTAAAAAAGATCTTCCCATAGTAAGGACATTATTTTCTTTCTCTCACAGTAAAAGCATAACTGAAATGCAAGAGGTTTCCCCATTTCTGAGGTTACCAGTGGTTTGGTAAACCCTCATCTCCAGGCAAGCCACATTGTCCCTTCTTGGTGGCTGCTGGTGTGAATGTGACCAGAATTCCCCTGGGTCCTGCTAGAGGTCAAGTGTAATCATTTCTCGATCCGTATCTGCCTCGAATCCAAGAGAGCAGAGGGTGATGATGCTTATTTAGCACCTGCCGTGCACAGGTGGTCTGACCAAGGGAGCGTGGCAGTAAACAAACATATGGACCATGTGCCCTCTGGGGGTTTGTGCAGTAGTTGGAGGTGGTCCATGGGAAGACAAACAGAGCCGTAAGAGGAGAAATAAGCAGGACAGCTGCAGATTCGGGTAAATACTGTGAAGAAAATAAAATGGGGAGGTGTGATAGAGTAATTGGGAGATTCTGTTCTAGATATCTCAGTCATTTACTTCTACGCATAATGAATTATTTCAGCACACAATCAGAAAGATCACATCTAAGGCTTAATGTGCTCATCTCTAACAAAGTTATTGAGAATGTTAAATAAGGTAATGCGTAATCAATATGCCTAATACCATTTAGCACTTGGTAAGTGCTCAAGGATTGTGTACTCTTCAATATTTTCTTTAATTTTAATGGCATAGTTCTGCTGATTCGGAGAGAGAGAGAGAGAGAGAGAGAGAGAGAGAGAGAGAGAGAGGCATTGAGATTGGTGGAAATGCTACCAGAGGAAGGATAAGGGGACCTAAGGTCCCAGTGGGCAGACTCACTCATGAACAACAGGGTCCTCAGAGGCCCTTCAGGTTTGGAACCAGTGGCATAAATAGGTGATTAGACTCAAGTTTCTCCCTTACAAATATCTCTTTTCTTTTGGGGTGACTGGCATATTTGATACTTATCTTAAACCCAATTTGGCTTTTTTTCCCCTTAATCTTTATTTTTTGGAATATAGAAGCCATTCTTTGGTTTACTCATAGTTGGATGTCAACATTTGTTCTACCATGAACTTTGATCTGAAAGGAGGCTTTGTCCTTTGTAAGAATTTTACTTATTTGCATTTTCAGTACTTTTGATAAATTGATATTACAAATATATATAACTTATTTACTTTGGAAAATCATCATTTTTTCCAAGGTTAAAATAATCATTAACCAGTTCTGTCATAGCATTGCCAATAACTGTTGTACCAGGCAGTTCCAGCATAACAGGTATATCAAGTTTAATTTCCATGAGAAATTAGAACCCTGGTTAATTACCAAGTGCTTCCCTTATTTCCATGTGACAGAATGCAGTGGTGTTGTTCAAGGAGCTGTGTGGCCTCTCCTCGGTGGCCAATCTCATGCAGTGCATGGTGGCAGTGTCTCCCCGCTTCCTGGGGCCTGATAACACACCCCTGGTGGTCCTGAATCTCAGCGAGCCATATCCCACAATGGAGTTGCAGGGAATTGTGCCAGAGGTTCTGAAGAAGATCGTGACAACTTATGACATGGTGAGTCATGTTTGTCTTTTCATGTAGTCAGCGGACAGAGGTATCTTAAGACAATATTCCAGATGTATTCAGGAGCTCTTCCTGAAGTGTGCTGTCCTATTTCATGCTTCATACATCTAGATTGAAAAAATAATTCCCCTAGCTTTGCTATATTTGAAAGAGTTTAGTTTTTGTTATTGTTTTAGAAAGCAAGATTCAAAGACAATTGCCTAAGTTAGATTAAACATTAATTAACTTCTCAAGAACTGTAATTGAATGGATTTCTTAAGGATACTCTTTTTCTTTTTTTTCTTTTTTTTGGTTTTTTTGAGACAGGGTCTCACTATGTAGTTGAGACTGACCTTCAACTCACTGTGTAGCCCAGGCTGGTCTCGAACTCACAGTGATCCTCCTGCATTAGCCTCCCGTGTGCTGGGATTACAGGCGTGCACCATCACGCCTGGCTAAGGATGCTCTTTTTCTATTCATATGTAGTAAAGAAATTTTTTATCTTCTCTTGTAACTAGCCATTGATTTACTTAGTTTTTGTTTCTCAAAGTGGTAAAGGCAAAAACTTTAATTAAAAAAAAAGTTTTAAATGCCATAAGGGGCAGGTGCTTCTGTCATGTGAGTCTGCTATGTGATGGTTTCCTTCCTCACAGCAGCTGCTCTGAGACACCTGTATTGGTAATCAGCTTAATGTTAATGACTGTGTCCTCAGGACATCTATAACATTACATTTTTTTGCACTTAAGATTTAACTTGTGTTTCCTTAATTGCATTTTGCTCTTACTTACTTTGAAATTTATCATAATGCTAAGGGAGAATTTAATGGGTGAGCAAATTCCATGTAGTTGAAGCTGTCAAAACCAGCTGTATGGACTCGTGGGATTATTCCTTAGCCTGGCAGTATCAAGGGTGGCCTGGAATACACCCTTTCCAAATGGGCCAGGCTGTCATCCTTTATCACCCAGGGTGTACAGGGGCAAGTACCTCATTCAACAACTCCTGTACTAGAAAAGCACAAGCTAAGGCCATGTAACATTTGACATCCTCTGATGGAGCTTTCTGTGCTCAAGGACAAAACAGGATTGGCATCACACATCAACATTTTTGACTTTTTTATAAATTGATTTGAAAGCTGCACTTTAGAGAGATTTATGCAATTCAAGGGAAATAAAAATGCATCAGGCCAGCATTGCCCTGCTATATTCTGAGGAATTTTGGTTTCTTAAGGTATTAGTATATATCACATGGGGGGAAGATTCCATGGTGAAATAATTTGGGGAGATACTGGTCTGAAGAAAACTGATCATCTATGATCACTGCAGGATTCTTGGGGCCTTTTACTTGCTGTCACAGGACATTCTAAGAGGGTGGAAGATACCGTATTCCCTGTTTACACATTGCCTGGGCCAGTGGGCTGCTATTTCCAAACTCAAAAATTGTGAAGAATCCATGTTGGGAAATACCTCTTTACTCTTTGGATGAATAAGTCTGTGCATGTAAGCCAGAAGCATGTAATATTTTAAGCAACATACCAGTTCACTCTCTTTAAAAGCAAAGTTATTTTTCACATGTTTACCAGGTTACTGTGAAGTAGCCACACATTTGCAGTAGATGCTTACTATTCCCTGTTCTTTCCATCTGAAGAGTCCATGGTACCATAAGAGATACAAGGGATTGCACACTGTACATGGCAGACAAACCACAGAGAATGGCATACATCCTGCAGAAAATGGGAAGGCCAGGGTCAAGTGTATCTGTTAAACCTTCAGTGACTTGTTGCTGGGTGCTAGAGGGGACAGAAAAACAGACATGAATGTTCTTTGTTCTTGGGGAGCCATCCAGTCCACTAGAAGTTTGGGAGTCACAGGGATCAACACAGGAAGTTTATGTTGGGATGCTTTTGCGGGAGAAAGGAGTGGAAAGAAAACAGGGGAGAGGTAGAAATAGGGAGGTTTGGGGCACTTTTCTATGCTGGGAGCCAGACTATCCTGTTAGTTCATGATACTGAGTTTCATGGGAAAAAGACAGAAGTAGTAGCTTCCATTTAGAGTGCTTTTAAAGCTTGACCTACATATAAAGTCTCCAGACCTACATCATTAATGAAAACCTACTATCTTCTTAGATATGTCATTGAGTTCTGTGGCAGTGATGCAATGACCTTTCTTCATGGTAAAGTTTTTAACAGGGACATCCTGAGAGTTGAGTAGTAGTTTCCATATAAGTGGTAACATAACAGACTGGGGCTGAGTGCTATGTTCAGCAGAGTATGATCCTGGCCAGATTCTCATGGTTTCATTAAAGCCTCCTAAGGACACCAGAAACCTTTATAGCACCTGCAACTATATTTGGCACAGGAATTGCTCAATACCCCTTGGTTCCTTGCCCTTTCCTCTTCCTGGACTGGTAGATGATAATTCTTCCTACATAACTCCTACTTGCATCTACCTTTTATTTGTATTATTGTAGAAGTGATAAAACAACATATTAGTTTATATAAAAGTTTTAAATTGTAAAATTACTCTTTTTCTAATGTATGGTTGAGATAGTTAAGCATCAAAATACTTGTTTATCGATTTATTCTTTTAATTCCATCTAGTAAACTTGTTATAAAATATTTAAAATTAAATTCAAATTATTGCAGCAATATTATAACTAATAATATTTTACAGTGATTTTTTTAGTGGCTAAATGGTTTCTCACCTTGTGATAATTAATTTGTTAAAACTAGCCAAAAGAATATGTTAATGGGAAATGTACAAGGCCATGGACAGCCTGTAACTTTAAATATAACTCTTTACTTTTGTAATGTTATGTTGAATCTGATCCAAAATGAACCTTAGAAATAGGATCTTACTTCATTTTGTTGACTTACTATATAATTTGTGGACTAGAACTGAGAAGCGAGAGTAGGTTGAGAAGTTCCTGTCCTGAATCCTTGCATCACTGCCATCTGCAATACTGAGGCTCACCTCCTGTGAGGACGGTTCTATGATGCCTCCTTGTTTTTTCCCCATACACCTGCCCTCCCTTCACCCCCTTCACCCTTCCCTATTTACAAAGACTTTGTTTCCATTTTTTTCACATTTTCCCCCTTATTTCCTTTCCCCTCCCCTTCCCACTTCCCTTTCAGCCATTTTCTTCCTATTTCACACTCTAAATTATACCATTTGAACCTTATTTACACTTTTAGTTTTTCACACCAGAGAAACTATTCGGTATTTACTCAAGTATCTCCTATTTGTGTCACTTAAGAGTATAACCTCAATGTACATCCTTTTAGCTCTACATGCCTCTAGTTTCTCATTCTTTCTGGCTGAGTAGTATTCCATTTTATAGATAAACCACATCTTCTTTATCCATTCTCCAGTTGATGGGCATTTGGGTTGTTTCCAAATTTTAGCTATTACGAGCTATGCCGGTATAAACATGGGTGCACATATATCACTCTGGTATGATTCTTTTAATTCTTTTGAAAAGATACCCAGCAGAGGGATAGGTGGTTCAAATGGAACCTCTAATCCTAGTATCTCCATATTGATTTCCATAGTGGTTGCACCAGTCTGCATTCCTACCAACAAAGAAGGGTTCCTTTCTCCCCATAGCCCTATCAGCATTTGTTATTGGTTGATTTCTTGATAGCAGCCATTCTTTGTGGGGTGAAGTGGAATCTCAGTGTTGTTTTCATCTGCATCTTTTGAATGAGCAGTGATACTGAACATTTTTTCGTATATTTATTTGCTGCTTTTATTTCTTTGAGAAATGTCTGTTCATTGTAGATGCCCATTTTTGAATTGGACCTTTGTATTTGGGAGATCTGATATTTTTGAGTTCTTTATAGACTCTAGATAATAGTCCTTTGTCTGAGGAGTAGCGGGTAAAAACTTTTCCATGTTGTATGTTGGCTCTTAGCTCTGTTGGTGATTTCTCTTGCACTGCAAAAACTTTTTAATACAATGAGATCCCAGTTGTTGATTCTTTGTGCAAGTTCTTGTGCTGCTGAGGATTTGTTCAGTCTTCTTCTATGCCAGTATCTTTGAGAATTCTACCTAATTTACTTTCCAGTAAGTTTAATGTTTCTGTTTTGCTATTTTGATATTTAATTCACTTAGATTTTAGTTTAGTGCATGGTGAAAGCTAGGGATCTAGTTTTAATCTTTGGCAAGTTGAAAGCCTGTTTTTCCAATTTATTAAAGAGGCTGTCTTTCCTCCATTGAGGATGGTTGAGCCCAGTGGTCTTAAGTACTCAGTTTCGTTTCTGAGAGACTCATCCTTTGAAGGTTTATCTGATTTCCTGGTCATCTAGACCGCCCAGTCAGCTTACTCTCTGACTCAGAAATGATCCTTGACTCCCTGTTTTAGATGTATCTTGTATTTTTTGCCAGGTTGCAGCTGGCCTCCGTTTTTAAGACATGTTATTTGTTCTTACCCTACTGCATATATATTGTACCGCCTTATACAATGTGTATTGCTATATCATACAACATGACTGTAGAGTCAGAGGTTGTATTTTTTTTTTACCTAATTCATCTGCTTTAGTTAAAAGGTCATGTTGTGATCTTCTAAAGTGGAATATAGTAGAAATTTAATTGGTTTATTCAAGAAAAACAGATACTAAATAAGAAACAGGATGTTGCATTTTCATTGAGATCTCCTGTTTATAAGCTCTTACCAAGGCAATTCTCACTCATCCAACAGCACCTATTTACAGGGTATATACTCTGTGCCAGTGACACAGAAGAGACAATAAAAGAACTAATACAATCTTTCTCTCTCAGGCATTTAACTGAAGACATGATACATGTCCTTAGTTGGCTAGGAAGATGGTAGGTAATATTTAGGTAGATAGTACATAGACATTTTAAAATATTTAAACAATTTCGCTAGGCAACGGAGAAAACGGCCAGTGTCAGGTTTGGGATTTGGAAGATAGGGAGGAACCATTGCCTGTTGAGCTGCACCCACAAGAATGAATTGAATGCCAACTGGCCAAGGCAAGCTAACTGCACAGGGTG